AAAACCACGCTCTCACACACACATGTGGACACATTTAAACACAAGAAAACATGTACCGATTGATTTTCAGACACGTCTGATAAAATAGGAGACACTGTGTGTGTGTGTGTGTGGAGAATAAATTCTTGGACTCAAGTGTTCCCTTGTAAACCCCAAGACAATACCTTTGTGTTTATCTAACAAAAGCAGCAACAAGAGAGTTCTCACTGTACCCTTTCAGGGTTCCTTCCAAGCTACAAAAACTTTTCTCTTGGAAGGTCATGAGATATTCCCAAAGATCAGAAAAATCCCTCTTTAATGTATTGATTTTATTAAAATTTCAAAACTACATAGTCTCACTCCACTAATTATTTTAAAAAATTACGAGGCCTCCCCCTAGACTACCAAACTGGTGGTAACATTGCTGCTTAACCAATGCATTGTACTGCTAATTAATTTGATCTACTAGATTGCTTCTTACCCAGGGCAGGTTTTGATAAAGTGGTACGATTCTTCCTTCCGTTATGGTGTGTGTATCATAAGTTTGACTCATAAAAATAATCTATTAATATGCAAACATAAAGTTGAGTATATATCTATCATCTTCAGATCTCTCATAGTGTCAAAAATCTTATGCACTAGACTGTTTTTTTAGTCAACTTATAGAGAAAGCACGATTATAAACCCAAATGTCTTTAGTTTCATTAAAAAGCAGTATAAAATAATCTTTAAGGGGATAGGAATTTTCATATTGTAGACCATAAAATTATAGCACTACTGATCATATTGGCATTGGGTCCTTCCCCATATGGTTTGGAGGACCCCTTCTGTTGTAAGTATGACGGTCATATCTATATAATAAAGTTCATAGTCTTGTTTATACACAATACAATAAGGACACAGATGGTTTAGATTTGAAAATTTATAAAATTTTTATTGTAAAATAACCTACAAAAATTATAAAAATATTCATTAAAATTATAAAATTTAGAGATATGATACCAAATTTTTTTTTTCCAATATAGTGGTCTTGTCCTGTTGTTAATTAAGACAATGCCATGTGAAATCCCGTGTGAACAAGTAGTGAAAACTTGATTGTGATGGACCTCGTCGTCAAGTTGTCGTTCAGTGGTTGACTCTTATGTTAGCCTAATTAGGTTTATTTTTAAGAGGAGGAACGAGTGTGGTCAAAAGCCTCATGACCCCACCAATGAAGACTTATTGAATTGGTCTCTGACGGCTCTCCTTTACCCCATCGCTTTTTCCAATAGCAAAAAAAAAAACAAAAAACTTGATTGTGACCAAAAAGTCACAAAACTGTCATCAGCTTTCTATCTCTCAAAACGGCATATCAACCAGGAACTTGAAAAAAAAAAACGTGATAGTTTCGCTTACAATTTGAAGGAAATTTGTTTATTATACTGGAAGATGCACAAAATAGGTTTATACACAATCAACAGTAGAGTCTATAAATCAGAATAATTAATGAAACAATCAATAAAGCAATTAATAATAGAAAGTAAAGATTGGGTCAACACAAACAACACATAGATATAGAGTGATTTGATCAGGATAACTTATTCCACTTTAAGCACGGCAATGATGATTGGAAAACTTTATTGATAAAGTAGTTGAGGGGAGAGAGAGCACGGACAAGCTTGGTGATGTAACCATGAGAGAGATAGTTTTGTGTGGGATGTAGAGATATATAAAAGGTGTGTCTCTCATGTACAGAAGATTTACAATTTATAGGCACAAAATTTAGTTGAGGCGGTGACGTGATGTGTACGTAAACTATTAGTTTTTCGGAGAGGATAACTATAATTAGAATAAGTACAATTAAAGATAATCATGATCTATAAGAGTGGTTATTCTAATAATTATTCCGCATATGCGCTTATCTTCCTAGATCCCTTAGACTTTAGACCGGGACGAATCCATACATTGGGTTTGACCTACATTATAACTAATTTGAGCTTATCTCATTAATTACGCCTGATCCAATTTGAAGTGGGTTCATCAGTATTCATCCTTAAGGTAATAATGTTTGCTTGGATTGAAAGATTTCAAGGGAAAAATAAATGGAAGAAAGAGAGAGTTCAATTACTTATTCGATACTTCAATTCGGAACTAATTGTTGATCTAATTAGTCTATTTAATTCATTATTGTCATTAGCATGACAGTGAGTTCCAAACATTATTAATTTATAGTAAATAATTAAATTATTAAATTAGCTTTGCAAATTAGATCCATAAAAATTGAATTATTTTAGCTCCACATATTTTCTTTTCTATCCCAAAGTGGGAAGGTTTGTAAATACACTTCTATCCCAAATGATTTACGCTTCCAAATGATTAAAAAAAAAGGCACTCTTATCTTTTTAGGGATATACTTTAATCCAGTTCAAATTATGATGGTAAACCATTGTATTCAAGAAAGGAACCAATACAAACATGAACTGTCCGTAATAAAAAAAAATGGAGAAAACAGAGGGAAAAAAAAAAAACTTGAGCCAACAGTATACGTCTAGTGGGTCTTTATTTTTTTTGGTCATTGTCTAGTGGGTCCAATAACCTGGAATAATGAAAGTTAGCACAAACAACAAAGAAACTTCCTTTTATTTACCCTGAAAAAAACAAAGAAACTTCCTTTGGGCCTTCTAACACTTCAAAATATTTCTTTTTTTTTCCACCTGATTGAAAAATTAAAAAAATAATAATAATAAATATTATCTTAGGGATAAACTCTACTTAAAAAGTTATACGTAAACCCAACAAGTAAAAGTATACCAAAAATTAGTGTAACACGTACCTTTTGATTACTATTCTTACAACCATGCTAAATTTATGAATCTACTCTTATCGGGTAACACTAATTTCTCACAACACAATACTTTGTAAAATGAAGTCATACTCTAAACTGTGTAAGGATGACCTATTCCATTTTAAGGATGGCAACGGTGGCCGGAGGAACTTATTGATAAAGTAGTTGAGGGGAGAGAGAGCACGGACAAGGTTGGTGATGTAGCTATGAGAGAGATAATTTTGTGTAGTATGTAGAGATGTATAAAAGGTGTGTCTCTCATGTGTAGAAGATTTACAATTTATAGACACAAAATTTAGATGAGGTGGTGACGTGATGAGTACGTAAGTTACTAGCTTTTCGGAAAGAATAACTACAACTAGAATAGGTTCAATTAAAGATAGTATTAATCTACGAGAATGGTTATTCTGATAATTACGTGCGGTTATCCTCCTGGATCTCTTGGACTTTAGATCAAGCCGAATCCATGCATTGGGCTTGACCTACTTTTTAACTAATTTAAGCTTATCTCATTAATTAAGCCTGACCCAGTTAGAACTGGGCTCATCAATGCTCATCCTTAAGGTAATAATTAGGGATGTCAGTGGACTGAAAAAAAAATGAGTATTCATCTAAATTTATTCCGTTTAGATCATAAATGAACTATATGTATTAGACGGTGGACGTATACGAGAATACCCGTATAAACTCGTACAGGAATAAAGGCAGGGATGGACTTACCCTTACCCCCGCCCCGCCCCGCCCCGTTACCCGTTATATATATATATATATATATATATATATATATATATATATATATATATATATATATATATACTCTCAAGCCCTTACTAACATATTTACTGTAACTACCAATGTAAAAATATGGTAATCAAACTAACAAGTGGCATTGCTATGTGATAATCTTATCAACTTTTTTTCCTAATTATTTTTTTTTTATTTGTGCTCACTGATTAAATTTTTAGGAGTTTGGATTGATCATGCTCTAAAAACAAAAAAGAGAGAGTAAGATAGTTTTACATTTTATCGTGGATAGAAATATTGTGAATAGAGGTTAATGAGTTTCTCTGTTAGAGTGAACTAAGAAATGGGAAGAATTATTAAATTAGCAAAATTTTACGTTTTCATCTTTTAACACTTTATGGCTATAATATGAATTATAATAACAAAAATTCTTTTAGGAAACTTCAAGTGTAGTGCTATCATTTTTTAGTTCAATTTTATTTTCTTTTTCTTCCTGTCTCTCTAATAATTCTGTTTCTCTTTTTGTAATCCAATGACACTTTAAATAGAATACTTTATTGTTTTGGCTTTTACATTTTGCTATCTACATTATGTGTGTTAAATTATATTAGATTATTTAGAATGTAGTTTGATTATTTAAAATTTTGGATTATGCTACTTGGACTTCGGCTTCGGCGGGTACGAGGGAAGCGGGGACGGGAATTAGAAATTTACCCACGGACAAGATGGGGATAAAAACTATACTCGTTAATGGGGGTGGACCGAAGATGAACAAAATTTTTTTAAGCTGGTACGGGGATGAAGACTATACTCTCCGCCCCCGCTTCGGTCAACTAACATCCCTAGTAATAATGTTTGCTTGGATTGAAAAGATTTCAAGAGGAAAATAAATGGAAGAAAGAAAGAGTTCAATTACATATTCGATACTTCTATTCGGAACTAATTGTTGATCTAATTAGTCTATTTAATTCATTATTGTCATTAGCATGACAGTGAGTTCCAACCATTATTAATTTACAGTAAATAATTAAATTAGCTTTGCAAATTAGATCCGTAAAAATTGAATGATTTTAGCTCCGCAGATTTTCATTTCTATCCCAAAGTGGGAAGGTTTGGAAATTCACTTCTATCCCAAACGGTTTACCCTTCCAAATGATTAAAAAAATGACACTCTTATCCTTTTAAAAATTTTCTTTAATCCAATTTAAGTAACGGTGGTCAACCACTAAATTACTAAAATAAATAAGCAGATGAATTTCACAAAAATTAATAACTAACTTGTCATGTAAGCAAATAATTTTTCACTTTTTTGTCATATATGTTCAAGTTAGGTTCATTTTTTCTATTTAAAATTTTATTATTAATTGATAATATCATATTATTAATAATAATAATACGATATCACCGTTGTATTCAATATTTACTCGTCTAGTGGGTCCAATAACCTGGAATAATGAAAGTTAGCACAAACAACAAAGAAACTTCCTTTTTACTTACCCTGAAAATACGAAGAAACTTCCTTTGGGCCCTCGGGCAGTTTAAAATAGTTCCATTTTTTTCCATTTGATTGAAAATTAAAAAAAATATTATCTTAGTGATAAACTCTACTTAAAAAGTTATATGTAAACCCAACAACTAAAAGTATATCAAACATTAGTGTAACACGTACCTTTTTTTTTTTTTTGAGTACCATAATCAAACCCTTATAGCACGGCTAAATTCAATCCTGCCCTATAAATGTTTCTGCATCATCAGTCCCTCCAGAAAGAGAAAGAGAAGAGAAAGAGAGATGAGGGCTGCAAGTGCAAACACACTCTCAACCTCCAGGACTCCATTATGGCGATTGAATTCTCCCCTACCCTATCTCTTTATCAGCGTAGCTCTGACGTTAGGGTTCATTACCATAGCGCTCATCATTCTCGTCTGTTCACGGTACCGGAAACAATCTTCCAACTCATGGATTCATTCAGAAGAGAAATCTGAAACTGTGAAACCAAAGAATACCGAGACCGATCTCACGCCGAATATCCTCGTCATCATGGCCGGGGACGAGAACCCCACCTACCTTGCAACGCCGGTGTCTTCTTCTTCAACCCACTGTAGCGTCGGACGTGCCTGAATTGTCATGCTTTGCTGTTGGTCATTGAAGACGACCGATCATGGCTGCAGAGAAAAGTTTTATTTCATCTGAAATGGTTTTTTTTTTTTGGGCAAATAGCACTTTGTACCCCCAAAGATCTTTGAATTCTCAATTTACACTCTTAAAGATTGAAATTCTCATGTTGCATCCTCAATCAAATGAAAAGGCATCAATGTGTTTCATTTTATGAAATTGTGAAGAACATTTTTATTAGAATTATATAAAATTGAGTATTATGCAAATAATTGTATATAAAAATAAGATAACATGACAAAAGCAAAAGATAAATTTGTCAGAAAAAAGGCAACGAACATTTACTTTTTGACTATATTGCTATTTTTTTTATGTGATTGGGGATGTGAAATTAGAACTTTAATCTTTTAGGATATAAATTGAGATTTTGAAAATCTTTTAGTGTACAAACTATTATTCACCCTATAGTTTTTTCTTTTATTTTTTTCTTTTTATTAACTTCCGTTTTAGTCTTTTAGAATTTCTAAGAACTTGTATTTGTTGATGAGTATGAGTGGATGCCTTGATTTTATCTCTAATCCTTAATAACCAAAAAAAATTGTCAACTTTTCTTCTTTTATCCTACATTGACAAATTGCAATCAAAATTCATGACCAAGACCTTTTGAGTATTTTGGTCGCCTAGAAAAAAAAAAGAAAAATATTTCAAACGTATCGGTCATAATATACAGAAATATTGGTTGAAATATATAAAAAAATTCTAAAATATTAATTATTAAAATACTTTATAACACTTCGAACAATCTAAAACAACTTAAATCATTTTAATTTTGATTCAATCTTTGATTTATTTTGGTCTCTAAAAACATAGATATAAATTCGTGCATCGCACAAGGTCACCGGAGTATTAATTATTAGAGTAATACTATTTGAACCTAAAAATCTAACTTAATTATTATCATATCAAAAAACAGATTTTAGCCATTAATCTTCTTGTGATTTAGTTCAAATAATTAGGGACTTCACATATTCGCATATTCATTAGGGAGCATTACTCCTTAACACACAAAACTATCTGCAAGAGATCCCACGGCACTTTTGTCGGGGCAGAAGTTAAAGTCTCACCATATGTTTTGGGTATTGAAGAGTAAGTTTAACTCCACCAAACTGTTGTTGTTGGATCAAAACAGATTTTTAAGTGTAAAAAATTGAATTCAGTTCGGGTGGACTCGCTTACCTTTGTCAATCATTTTTTCTTCCTTATTGTAGAACTGTTGAAGTGGTAGATCTTCTTGTAACATTTCACTTTGGTTATTCTTCATTTTTCATTGATAAAGTAGATTTCAACTTTGCGTATGTTGCTGCTTTCTTTCAGTCTTTCCACCGCGTTGAGACGACTTTGAGTCTAAATTAAAGTGGGACTCGATTGTTATTTTGAATAAAATTTTGTGGGTTCATATTCTACTCTGTGAGGAAAATAGTTTGGTATATTCATTTGCTCAAATCGAATAAGAAATGAATGAGAAAATATGTTTTAAAGTGACCCTCTTAAGATGTGGAAATAAAGGTTAAGCAATGCGAAATTTGACACCAATTCTACATTGGTTGAGAAAGAAATTCAACATAGGTATATATAGGTCAAGTTTGCTCTATGGGATTGGACCCTAAGGGGTACCACAGTTTTATGAGCAGAGTGAGCAACTATGTGCCTTCGGTTCGATAACACCCGCACGCCGCCCACCCCGCCACGATCCGATCAGGCTTGGATATGGGTGTAGTTTAAACCAAGCCCTATCTTTTTAGAGAAAATTTAATTAATTAATTAGATAAGAATTTCTAAACCAAAATTTAATTTTTGGTATCCGTTAGATTACACTGGTTCGGATGTGTTGCTTCCCTTCAGTCCGAAATTGAGTTATGACTATTCATAAAAACAGTTACAAGTGGTGTCTACTATTGGCATTTGTCTTCTTAGGTTGTGTCTTTTAGTATGGTAGCTGTCCGAAAAGTCACTAAATTGTCTACAAATACCCAGGCTCATTATCATTTTATATCAATTCATTTGTTCAGTCTATTTCGACATTAAGGCAAACATTAGTGCATTATAGTTTGCATATTGGTATTAAGGCAGTGTCTTGGAGAGTACACAACACAAATTTTGGTTCGCTAGACGAATAAATTGGAGTTCTATTCTACTCATATAAAAATCATTGTATCCTAAGAGGCAGACGTTTGGTATTCCATAAATACCGTATGTGGGGGCGAAATCTATCTTAAGAACATAGTGTTAAATACTATCTTTAATTTATATCAACTTCAATAACAACTCCTCTTCTGCAACCGAGTTAGTATTTATATTACAAAAAGTTACATGTAACTCATTCGTGTAACTCTTTCGTCTTTGTGTGACTCTTTATTGTTACTATTTCATTAGTGTAACTCGCTTCTATGTAACTCTTTACATAGTTCAAATCAAAAATTTTAATAAGTGATTTTACATTATTTTGACACTAAAAACAACAGTTGTAATTATGAAGATTCAAACCTAAATATTGAGCGAGAAAACCAAGTTCTTATTCATTGGACCAACTGCTCGATGGTCTGGTGTGTGTTTTTTAAAGTGAAAAGGTAAATAACAATCTTCTTCCACTAATAGAATAATTAATGAATTTTCTTGTAACCGTTATTTATAGGGGATCAGAGAGAAATAAGTTCCATGATATTATACAAATCTATCATTTTTTATTTTTATTACATATCATTGTAAAATTATAATATACTCGATTTGGCCCCGTTTCTCACTCGATTTTATTCTTCTACTAATTAGCGTCATTTTTAATTTTGGCTCAAATTTT